GGAACTTGCAAGTAATTATCTTTGGGGGGGTTTTCCTCAAAATATGTGCGCAAGGATGAGATTGATAAGTTAAAACCCACAAAAATTTATCAACATGGAATATGCGTTTTAAAAAATATACCTCGACAATTAGACTAATTTTATATTTTTGTCAAATTCATAATTTTAAAAAGTAAAAAACCGGGATAGCACAAAAAAATGATTGAGGGTTCTTAATTTTGTTAGAAAGTGTCATGCAACCGATTTATGATCATTTCTTAAACGTTTGAAAATCCCGGATAAAATATATTTTAAATATTTCAAAAAAATCTCTAAAAATCATGGTAGAAGACTACAAATTATGGCAAAACCTTTGTAAATAAACTATAAATTAACGTCGAATTCTAAGAAAAATATAGTTTCTTCTCTAGACCCAAAAATGGGTAAGAATGCATAACACTTAATATAAAAACCAATTTAAAAAAAAACAAAACAACTTTAAAATGACATACCATGATTATAACCTATGACTCTGCTAATTAACTTTAGGAAAGGAGACCTTAACAAGACACTAATGGTGTCACATGTTTCATAATTAGAAATTTTCATTATTATATGAATTTTATTTTTAAATATAAAAGACATACGTCGCATGTGTTTAATTGGTCTTTTGAGCTGGTTAAAGTCAATTTGTCTCACTTTTTAATTTTGTCTAACACTAAAGAACTTGTGAAAACGTCTTTCTTCAATTATTGAAACTATTAGTTTAACAAAAACAATAATGCCATCACGAGATTCATCGTTGGAATCGGATTCTCAATCTTTGCCAATAATTATCAGTCTCAAAAGGTGACATAAACACAACGAGAAAAAGCTCACTTGATTCGGTTGAAACTTTTAATCTCCACTCATTATAGTCACTAGTTATATTAAGTACATTACTTGAATAGTTATTTATTGTAATTGTCGAAACTTCGCCCAGTTGATTAAAATTAATACAAAGCAAGTCATTTAGTGTTCATGAATGTTTTGTATTAATTTTAATCAACTGAATGTTCTTTATTTTTATAGTCCAAAACTCCATTGAATGTTTTTTTTATATCATTTGTTGACACTAATAATACTGATAAAATTTGGCTATATTCATTAATTTTATATAGAGACACATTTTCAGATTGATTATAACATTATTATAATGTAAAAATCAATAATTGTTTTGGATATAGATGAAGTCAGTATCTTTGTATGTCCACACACATTAAAAGCGTGAGGTTGTGAAAAGATATGAACAACAAAAGAAAACAAAGAAGAAAGT